AGACGCAACATTGTGAAAATGACAATTCTACCCAAAGCAATTTACAAATACAATGCAATCCTGATCCAAATACCAACAACATTCTTTAAAGAGATAGAAAAACTAATCATTAACTTTATATGGAAAGGGAAGAAGCCCTGGATAAGTAAAGCACTATTGAAGAAGAAGAATAAAGTAGGAGGACTCACACTACCCGACTTCAGAACCTACTATACAGCTACAATAGTCAAAACAGCCTGGTACTAGTATAACAACAAACACATTGATCAATGGAACAGAATTGAGAACCCAGATGTAAATCCATTCATCTTTGGTCACCTGATCTTTGACAAGGGCCCAAAGTCCATCAAATGGGGAACAGTCTTTTTAACAAACTGGCAAAACTGGATGCCCATCTGCAAAGAAATGAAACAGGACCCATAGCTCACACCATGTGCAAAAACTAATTCAAAATGGATCAGACTTAAACATAAAGCCAAAAACTATAAAGATCATGTAAGAAAAAATAGGATCAAGGCTAGACACCCTGATACAGGGCATTAACAGGATACAAACCATAACCAACAACACAAAAACTCCAGAAGATAAGCTAGATAACTGGGCTCTTCTAAAAGTTAAACATTTATGCTCATCAAAAGACTTCACTAAAAGAGTAAAAAGAGAACCTACAGACTGGGAAAAACTTTTGGACATTGCAAGTCAGACAAAAGTCTAATATCTAAAATCTACAAGAAAATCCAACACCTCTACAACAAAAAGACAAATAATCCAATTAAAAATTTGCAAAGGAAATGAACAGACACTTCACCAAAGAAGACATTCAAACTGCCAACAGACACATGAGAAAATGCTTGCAATCACTAGCCATTAGAGAAATGCAAATCAAAACCACAATGAGATACCATCTTACCCCAGCGTTACTGGCATGAATCAAAAATACTGGAAATACCAAATGTTGGAGAGGCTGTGGGGAGATCAGAACTTATGCACTGCTGGTGGGAATGCATGATGATACACCCTTTTGGAAAATGATATGCCACTTTCTTAGAAAGCTAGAAATAGAAATACCATACAGTCCAGCAGTCCCACTTCCAGAAATATATCGTAGAGAAATAAGAGCTGTTACATGAATAGACATATTCACACCCATGTTCATTGCAGCATTGTTCACAATAGCAAAAGCATGGAAACAACCTAGATGCCCATCAACAGACGACCGGATAAGCAAACTATGGTACATACACACAATGGAACATTACGCAATGATAAAGAACAATGATGAATCTGAAAAGCATCTCATAACATGGGTGAAACTGGAGGACATTATGCTGAGTGAAATAAGTCAATCACAAAAGGACACACATTGTATGAGACCACTACTATAAAAAGTCATGAAAACGTTTACCCACAAAAAGAAGCAATCTTTGATGGTTATGAGGGACAGGAGGGGTGGGAGGGTGATAGTAGATAGACAATAGATAAGTGGTAACTTTGGTGAAGGGTAAGACAGTACACAATACTGGGGAAGTCAGCACAACTTGTACAAGGAAAGGTCATGGAAACTCCACAGACACATTTAAACTCTCTGAGGTACCGAATTGCTGGGCAGAGGTCTGTGGGGACCCAGGTCTCGGGGAACATCTAGTTCAATTGGCCTAACACAGTTTACAATGAAAATGTTCTACATTCTACCATGGTGAGTAGTGACTGGGATCTTAAAAGCTGTGAGCAGCCATCTAAGATACTCCACTGGTCTTACGCCTATGGGAGCAAGGGAGAATGAAGAACACTAGAGACACAGGGGAAAGATTAGTCCAAAGGACTAATTGACCACAACTACCATGGCCTCCACCGGACTGAATCCAGTACAGCTAAATGGTGCCCGGCTACCACCATGACTGCTCTGACAGGGATCACAACAGAGGGTCCTGGACAGAGCTGGAGAAAAATGTAGAACAAAATTCTAACTCACAAAAAAAGACCGGACTTACTGGCCAGAAAGAGACTGGAGAAACCTCAAGAGTACGGCCCCCGGACACACTTTTAGCTCAGTAATGAAGTCACTCCCAAAGTTCACCCTTCAGCCAAAAATTAGACATCCTCATAAAACAAAAGGAGATTAAAGGGGCACAACAGCCCAGGAACAAGAACTAGAAGGTAAGAGGAGACAGGAAAGCTGGTAATAGGGAACCCAAGGTTCAGAAGGGAGAGTATTGACATGTTGTGGGGTTGTTAACCAATGTCATAAAACAATATGTGTACTAACTGTTTAATGACAAACTGCTTGTTCTGTAAACCTTCATCTAAAGCACAATAAAAAAAAAAAGAAGAAGAAGAAGAAGGTGGAGGTGGGTGTATTCCAGGAGGAAGGACAGAGGTACTGGCAGAAGACGTAGAAATGGAAAGGTGTCCATGATCAGCCATTCACAAGTCACCTTTGATGTGTTTGCCAGAGTGGTCCCGCCACTGTCAATACCTACAGATTTTTGCTGAGCTGCATGCCGTTAATTATTTTGTTATTCAAAACCTTATCCATTGGTAGTAAATCCCTTTTGTTAGACACTTATAAGTAATTCTTGTATGTTTTTAATGCTTAATGTTTGGAATTTGACACAGCTAGGGATTTTTATGAGGTTGTGTCTGTGTATGGATGTTGGCGTTTGGGCAATCGAGGGTTGTAAGGAAGATATTCTGGTGACTTCTGGGTGGAACCAAAGTGGACATTCTGCATAAAGGGCCTTCTATGGAAATCTTGCATCTCACAGGTAGCTTGAAACTCAAAGTCCTATGATATACTTTCTCAACTACCATCAAATCAGTTTAGCTTAATGCAAAGACAATATCTTCTTTTCCACAATATGGAACTTATTTGGGAATGAGAACTCAGTGACCAAGAACTGACTGCTAAATGCTAGTTAGTAAACTTCTTCTCACCTGGCTACTCTTCCTCGAAGATCTCCAACTCCTTGTAGGTGTTTGGTGTTTAGCTCCTGTACTGCAAAATTAGTTCCTGTGGCCATCTGGTCTCGAACTCTTATTTGTTCTTCTAAAACCTATAATTTTGAGTTAAAATTCCTGTTAATTTCTCATCACACATAAGAAGAAAAGATCATATTAAGCAGGGTTTACAAACTCCAATGCTTGTTTTTAGGCTGTGAATGTAAATAAGTAAAACAGTCCCATCTCAGAGATGGGGGTAGGGGGATAGGTAGTGCCCTCCAGCTTACTGTTGCCAGGTGGAAATGATACTTCCACAGAAGCCAGAAATCCAGATTTTATGTGAAATCTCCCAATTTTTAAATAGTGACATTTTATTCAAGATCTCTTATGAACACTATATGGATCAAAGAAAATGTATTTATTGGTCTGATATGGCTATGGGTTGCCATTTGGGGATCAATGTTTTAAAAGCTTTTCACAAAAAACTGTTCCACAACTGGTGGTAAGTTTAGAAAAAGTGATTTTTAATACGGCATTAGGCAAGGACCTTTATGGATTAAACCTGAACCACAGTGAAGCTAACACAATGAACACAATGAAATCTCGACCAAATTGTTTTTCATCTGGTTGTAAAAGAAGTTTATTGTTCCAGATTTCTTAGAGAACATGGGTATGTTCAGATTTTGTCCTTGTGTGTCTTTAATGATGTCTTTATTATGGCTTGGTATTCTGGAAATAAAACTGACTTTCCTATACCACCAGGTTGGTGGTCTTGAGAACAGTGGTTTAATTTTTTTTCACCTACATGTAAGTATTTATTTAAAAATTGAAATAATTCTGTTTGTCTGAAGAGAAAATTTATGTCTTACTTGACATTCAAACAAGTTTTACTGTAATGTGAAGAGGGAAATTAGGAATAATTTATATAAAAATACTTTGGATTTACTCTGAAATAAGCGAGAGTATAGAACTTTAGAAAATACAAACAAATTTGTGACTTAAGGAAATATTCTAGTTTAGTTATTATATTTGACCAAGACCTGAAGTATGTTTAAACTTATGTTTATGAATTTTACTACAAATAGAAGGATTTTTATAGCAAGTGAATTATAGAAATTTCAAAGACCACATTAAGAATCTTTCCCATTTGAAAACTGACAGATTGAGACAATCTAAAGGCAATTAAAGCCTTAAATGAAGTCATAAAAGTGTCAAAAAACACTAGCTAGAGATTTTTTGTTAAGAATAATGATAAAAGGAAACTTGCCGTACTAGCTTTAAAACATTTTATGAAGCAAGGATAAAGTAAATCAGTGTAGTGCTGGTATGTAGCCAAATAGATCAACGTAATGTAAAGAGGACCTTGGTAAACGTGAGGAAGAAATACTCTATACATGAGACTCACAAATCAATGAGGGAGGAATTTCACAAATCCTGTTGGGATCTCGATTAGTTATCCATAAAACAATGAATTAGATCATTACCTCACATTATATATTAAAATAAACCTTAGAAAAAATAGATTAAAAATAAATTCAAAACTAAGCCCTAAAAATAAAATGTGTCAGAGATGATCTCATTTCTGAGTGAAGAACTTTCTAATCTTTAAGGTAATGAGAAAAATCACAAAGCAAAATCTTATAAAAATCTTGCAAAAACATTATAAATACAATTAAAATATAAACAACGAACTGGAAAAACATTTATAGCCAATATTATTACCAAGGGTTTTGGTGGTGTCCTGGAACTAGCATGTACCTGCTTTAAAGAGCTGATTGTGTATTGTCCCTTCCCATCTTCGTGCTCAGTGACATCAAGTTGGGCATTTGAAATTAGTCATAGTAGGAGTATTTACACCATGGAAATAGGCAAATACTATAAACCAGGTTTCCTTTTTCCCTAGATAACTGATTGTTAAACATATACCACAAACCACTGGTTGCTATCCCTAATATGTTAAAGAATTAAGTCAGTAAGAATTAAAAACCACTAGAACCCTGAAAGATAAATTTGCAAAACATACGAATAGATTATTGACAGAGGAAACAGAAATTGTTATAGCCACTTAAAAAAAGGGGGTTTAACACCTTCAGAAAGTAAAGAAAAAAAGGAAGTCTCATTTCTGTCCAATCAGATTAGCAAAGATTAAAACAACAATAAGTGCTGACATAAACCAAAAACAAGACCAAACTCATTGCCATTGAGTAGATTCCAACTCACAGCAACCCTACAGGACAGAGTAGAACTGCCCCATAGGGTTTCCAAGGCTATAAATCTTTACGGAAGCAGACTCCATACCTTTCTCCCGCGGAGTGGCTGATGGGTTAACAGCTAAGCACTTAACCACTGCGCCACCTGGGCTCCTTAATAGGCACAGAGAAAAAAGCACTATCATACAATGCTAACGGAAGTGTAAATTAGTATAAGCTTTCTGGAAATCCATTTGGCAACATGCATCAAATGCTTTCAAAGTGTTCATACTCTGGTAATTCCACTTCTAAGAATGTATACTATGGAAATAATCCAAATGCAGACAAATATTTATGCACAGAGATATTTTAACATTAAGAAAATAAATGAGCAAATCGTGGTACATGCACCATGCAAAAGGCTTTTAATGACATATCAAAATTTTATATTAAAGATTATGCTTATAAATGTAGTCTCAGCCTCCTGAATGGAATGTCCAGAAGACAGGGTATTTGTAGAGACTGCCATTTGATGAAGGGATTGTGAGTTTTTTTCCCCAGGTTTTAAAACTTTCTACCGAACTTTCAAAATTACTACAATGATCAAGTACTGCTTTCATAAATTAGGGAAAAAACACAAAAAGCAATGTCATGACAAAATTCTCTTTGAGTTAAAAATAGATTTTTTTTTAAGAGAATAAAAAGAAAACTACAGACTGGAAGAAAATATTTGCAAAACATATATCTGATAAAGGACTTGTACCCAAAATATTTTTATAAAGTGTCAAGGAAATCCTCTTCAATTGGATGATATTTGAGCAGAGACCTGGAGGAAATGAAGAACAATTCATAGGAATATCTAGGGGAAGATAACTCCCTCCAGAGCGAATAGCAAGTGCAAAGGCTCTGAGCCAGAGTACGCTTGATATGTTCTAGAAACAACAAGGAGGCCAGTGTGGCTAGAGTAAAGGAGAGAAGGGTGGGAGATGGTGTCAGAGAGATAACATGAGTCAGATTACGATGGGCCAGCTGAACCATCATTGCCAAAGCATTATGAAAACTTCTTACTGAAATGATTACATTAATAGAATCTTGGATATTTAGACTAAAATAAGAATCTTAGCACAATGTCTGACATAATGTTAAAGAGTTGTTTTATTGTTACAAAATATATACACAATAAATGTTCTTTTGGCATAAATGAGCAGTTGAAGAATCAAACCATTTCCCTCTGGGACAACTAAACTGTAATCATTTAAACTTAAACAAGAGGTACATGTTTCTATGTTTGAAAAATTATACTGGTGGTTGATAATCTTTGTCAGCAATGATACCAACATATGAGAAATAGAGAACTACCTCAATGTTTTGGTTGAGTTTTTTGACTATACTGGTGATGGTCTGGATGTGACTTTCCAGCAGCTTCCTAGCAAGTGACTCCTCTTTTCGAAAGCCCTGGGTCCCCTGAAGACAGGCAGAGATGTCCTCCTTGATGCGGAAGGCTTGTTCTAGGAGGAAGGCTATGGTGCGCTCCTGGTTGTTTAGCCTGTCTTCTAGCTGACTTCTCTGGGTGTTTGGAATGACAGGAAGGAAAGAATAACCCCTGGTCAGGGAAAGAAGACAACGTCAAGGTTATTAAAAGAATGAGCTGGCGAATCCAGAAACCAGAATTCATATCATCACTTCTATTCCTTCTCCGCTATGAGAAATTAGTAGAACTTTAAGCACTTACAAGCTTAGAATCTTGGTTTGAATTTCATCTAAAAAGCAGATCAGATCTTGTGTCATGTGTCATGCATTTTTTTTATGTTTCCCAAGGAGGAATTGCTCTATATACTATAATGGTAAATTTTCAAGCCAAATTGGTGGGTGTAGGAAGAAGGGGATTCATGAAGGAAAATATTAGAAGCCTTCTTCCCAAGACTTATGCCTTCATATATCCCTGAATGGAAAACACTAATCTAGAAATTCCTATATCTGTAAAAATGTGAAAGTGGTTATGTTAGAGAATCTATCTAATCCAGCAAGACACCCAAACTCAAACCCATTGCCATTGAGTTGATTCTGACTCACAGTGACCCTATAGGACAGAGCAGAACTGCCTCATAGGGTTTCCAAGGCTGTAAATCTTTACAGAAGCAGCCTGCCACATCTTTCTCCCGCAGAGCATCTGGTGGGTTCAAACTGCCTACCTTTCAGTTAGCTGTGGAGCGCTTAACCAGTGTGCCACCAGGGCTCCTTCTAGCAAGATAAGCCTTTACAATGCAATTCTGTGGTCAAACAAATTTGGAAAACATTGCATAAAATACCCCTCTCCTGGTGATTCACACTGCGTATTAGCATATTAATGTCCAACAGTATTTTTCTAATTTTATAGATGAGGAAAGTGGTTCATAGGGTAGTAGTTACATAGCTGCTTTTTGGTGACTTTAAGCCCATGGGCTAAGGCATTTGGCTATATTATCCCCCAAACATAGGTCACTTCTAAAGGCTTGTGTGCATTGATTTCTGACCTCACACCAGGACACATTTTGTATACATGAGCATGACAGCATTCCATTGTATTGGATAACAGAGTCAGAACTTAGTTTAAATTTGCCTGGAAGGCAATTAAATTTCTTGGTGACTTTGTACTATCTTATGAATGGGAAGTAAAATTAGAAAACTTTCATGGTGCTTAAACAAATTTCTAATATTAATTATGCTGAGATTGGATATCATAAGTATTTTTAAAATAAAACTCCATTTTAGAAGTTTTAGTTAAAAACCTTTATGTACAAGTATACATGAAGAATATACTTTAAGAGACATTGATTTAACATTATTGCAATTATACATAGGACCTGCTGTGTCTGTGAAATGATAACAGGTATTAGCTTAAAAAAAGGAATGGTTTTAATTAGATTCAAACCAAACCCATTGCCATCAAGTCAATTCCAACTCATAGTGACTTTATAGGTCAGAGTAGAACAGCCTCATAGGGTTTCCAAGGCTGTAAATATTTACGGAAGCCGATTGCCACATCTTTCTCCCTCAGAGTGGCTGGTGGGCTCAAACCACCGATCTTTCAGTTAGCAGCCAGGCAGTTAACAACTGTACCACCAGGGATCCTGGGATTCATGACTTAAAAAAAACAAAAACAAAAACAAAAACAAAAAAAACCCATTGCCGTGGAGTCATTCTGACTCATAGAGACCGTATAGGACAGACTAGAACTGCCCCATAGGGTTTCCAAGGAGCAGCTGGTGGATTCGACCTGCCAACCTTTTGGTTAACAGCTGAGCTCTTAACCACTGTGCCACCAGGGCTCCACGACTACAGGGGCATTAATCTGGCCAGCTTTTCAGACATTCTCTGAGTCAGAATTCCTCATAATCTTATTTTCTGTAATAGTCATTAAATATTAGAATTGGAAAAATGCGTTAGATATGATCTTGTAGAGTGGTTTTCAAACTGTGCTCTGATGGACCCCTGGGGCTGTGAGGCAGTGCCTTGGGGTTCCTGTGTTGGGGGTGATGGTGATGGGGAGAAGGCCCAGTGGGAGGGACTTTGGGTTTTCTCCCCTCAATCTCATCTGTTTAATACATTGAGCTTTTTCATGAGCTTTCTTTTAAAGAAGTGGTTGTACTACCAATGAAGTTGAAAATCCCTGATCAATTCAACCCCTTCATTTTTCAAACTCAGAAACCGAGGTCTAGAGAGGTTAAGTAGCTAGTACAACGTTACACAGCTTTTTATTTGGCAGAACTAGGATTAGATTCAGATATCCTGCAACCTAGGCTAGAATGCTTTGCAAAATGCTGCCTCTGAATAGCGGCAAAATATTTTATGATATCACTAGAAGGAAAAGGCAGTCTTAAAAGGAAAAGGGATTTGACCTTCATTATGAGCTGGGAATAAAATGATGAATAAGACAGACAAAGCCCCTGCTCTCAAGCAAATGTCTATCTATATTTATATGCCAAGGTTATTGTTGTTGTTAGGTGCTATGCAGTCGATTTCATCTCATAGCAACCCCATGTGATGGAGTAGAACTACCCCATCGAGTTTTCTAGGTTGTAATCTTTAGAGGGGCAGGTCTTTCTCCAGTGGAGCTGCTAGGTGGGTTCAAACCGCTAACCTTTTGATTGATTAGCAGCTGAGAACTTAACCCTTGTGCCACCAGGTCTCTTTATATAACCCACTGCTGTCGAGTTGACTCTGACTCATAGCAATTCTATAGGACAGAGTAGTACTGCCACATAGTTTCCAAGGAGTGGCTGGTGGATTCAAACTGCTGACCTTTTGGTTAGCAGCTGAGCTCTTTACCACTATGCCACCAGGGCTCCAGGCTCCTTATATAGCTAGGTAGATCTACATAAATACAGTATATATCTTCTTAATGTGCTAGATCATAGAAAGCCAAAGCCAAATAGTTCCCAGTCATTCCCACTGCAAAAGACATAATAATTATTGTGATTAGGGTTAATGGAGAATGGGAATTCCAGAACACTTAATTTTGTATATAGAACAAGAGATAGTCGTTCGAACAGAACAAAGAGATGCTGTGGGGTTAAAGTCAGAAAAGGTGTGTGTCAGGGTTGTATCCTTTCAATACTTATTCAATCTGTAAGCTCAGCAAACAATCCAAAAAACTGGACCATATGAAGAAGAACATGGCATCAGGATTGGTGGAAGACTCATTAACAACCTGCATTATACAGATGACACAATCTTGCTCGCTGAAAGCAAAGAGAACTTGAAACATTTATTGATGAAGATCAAACACTACAACCTTCAGCATGGATTACACCTCAACACAAAGAAAGCCAAAATCCTCACAACTGGACCAATAAGCAACGTCATGATAAATGGAGAAAAGACTGACGTTGTCAAAGGGATTTCACTTTACTTGGATCCACAATCAACACCCTGGAAGCAGCAGTCAAGAAATTAAATGACACATTGCATTGGGCAAATAGGCTGCAAAAGACCTCTTTAAAGTGTTGAAAGCAACGATGTCACTTTGAGGACTAAGGTGCGCTTCACCTAAGCCATGGTATTTTTAATCGCCTCATATGCATGCGAAAGCTGGACTACAAATAAGGAAGACCAAAAAAGAATTGATGTCTTTGAATTACGATGTTGGTGAAGAATATTGAGTATACCATGGACTGCCAGAAGAATGAACAAGTCTGTCTTGGAAGAAATATAGCTGGAGTGCTTCTTGGAAGTGAGGATGGCAAGATTTCATCTCATGTATTTTGGACATGTTATCTGGAGACACCAGTCCCTGGAGGAGGGCATCATGCCTGGTAAGGCAGAGGGTCAGCAGAAAAGAGGAAGACCCTCAATGAGATAGATTGACACAGTGACTGCAACAATGGGCTCAAACATAGCAACAATTGTGAGGTTGGCGCAGGACCTGGCAGGGTTTCATTCCGTTGTACATAGGGTTGCTATGAGTCAGAACCAACTAGACAGCACCTAACAACAACAGGGCTAATGATGACATATTTTTGTGAAAGTGAGAATGCCCTAGGGACAGCAGATTTTAAGGCCAGATTGTGAATATTAGCATTTCCTGAAGACCACAAGTGTAAGCTAGAATTGTGTTTAGCTGTGTATGACAGAAACTCTAAGACAGTGAGTTATACAAGAATGCTTTATTGGCTCACATAACAAGAAGTCCAGATAACCAGGACTCACATAATCAAGGAGGTCATCTACTACCCAGGCTCCTTCTAGCTTCCTGACCAACTAGCCTTAGTGTGTGACTGACTTTTAGGGTCTCAGGGTCTCAAGGTTGTTGTTTCACCTTTAAGTATAGCATCCACAATCCACATTTCACATTACTATCTATTCCTCAGATAGAAAAGAGAAAGAGTGAAGAATAAAACATGTGTACTAACTGAGTTTGTCCCTCCCTTTTTAAAAATCCAGAACACAGCTTTTCTAAAAGACCCACCATGACACTTCTGTTCATATTTCTTTGGTTCAAACTATGTCACATGTCCAACTCTTCTAACTTTTTTTTTTTTTAAACTGGCCACATTGCAGTCTTAAACAAAATTTGGACTTTTATTAGCACAGAAGAAAGGTGGGAATGTGTATTGGGTTGGATACCAGTCATATTTGCCTTATGCAATTTTTCTTCTCCTTATCTCCAGTTTTATATCAAGCATCACTGTCAAGGGAATTAAAAAAATAAGAAACTTGTTTCTTTCTTGTTGGCTGTTTGCTCTCTACTGAATAATCTGCAACAAGAGCTCATTCGGCAGTGCCAGAAGATGGCCAAAAGTTGACCATGAATGTCATTATAACGCTAGTGATGGATGGTTGCTCACAAATCAGCATGTGTGAATGGCAAGGCTTTAGCTGCTCAGTGAAGGTCAACAAAAACTGTTGTTCGAGAGTAAAGGAAGAAGAGGAGCTCCTACTACATGGATAGATAAAATATAGTAACACATTACTTCTTTGCAATTTAGTGATATCATTTTTCTAAAACCCTGTCCAAAAGAAATATAATGCAAGCCTCATATGTAATTTAAAATATTTTAGTAGCCACGTTAAGAAAAGTAGAAAGAAACAGGTGAGATTAATTTAAGTAATATATTTTATTTA